CCCCTCAAAAAGACTTTAAGGTCTTTTCACAACTGCGGTGTTTAGTTGGTCTAAATCAAACTCATTTTCCTCCTTGGTGCGGTTCATTTGTGCAGGTGTGAACACAGTAATTGGGTACGGACCAAACCAACCGCAGTGAGACCTCTGGAGGTGGTGGTCTCGGTGCGGTTCCAAATGAACGCCAGGGTGGTTCATTTACGGTGTGAATGTAATCGGACCTCGATTCGAACAAACTACCAGGCGTACGTTACGTTTAAAATGTTCTGTAGCCACGTATGCTTTGCAGCAAAGTACTCTAGATGTGCAAAGGCATGAACGGGCTAGAAGCTAGCTGTGAAATTAGTTACTCCAGTTCTCCTATAGTCCAGAGCACAGCATCATCTTCCTGTATTTACTCTTGTTGTCCCGCCCCAGACACACCTGGCCAATGAGCAGACTGAATATTCTCATGTGGTTTGTAGTGACGTAAACAAACCAAACCAGCAACAAGTTTACAAACTCATCAAGACCAAAGTAAACGAACTACAGGTATGAAAACAGTCTTAGAACAAAAAAAAAAATCAATAGACACAGCTTTGTTAATCAGGGTTTCCATCAAAAACAAAAACAAACGAACACAAAAACTCACTGCCTGTACAGTATTTGAACTGTTACAGTTATTAAAAAAATTAATAAAATTTAAACCTGAGAATGGAGAAAAAAAAAAAAAAGTACTATATTTTTGGAAAAAACACAACTTTATGACCCAGAACTAGAAAACTAAAATGAAAAGAAAATATATTTATATTTAACACAGTTTTGTTAAAACCTGTCAGCACAACCAGCCTGATGAGGCTTGAGCTAAAAATGCACTGAATTTAATAGTTTTAGCCATTTTAAATATCAATGTCACAAATTAAAATTTAATGTGTAATTAATAAAAAAAATTAAATGAGAAAAAAAACAAAACTATAATAACTGTGATAACAGGCGGATCATGGTGACTGTGAGCCAATAACATGAACAACTGAAGAGAAAAGCTTTGCTGCACTTTGTACACGCCACTTTAACCTGATGCTAAAAGAGCATAAAGATGACAACGATGTGGCAACAGAGGGTTCATGTAAAGGAGCCTCAAGTGTCTCATTGGGTATAATTTTTTTAATTGAATACATGTGGGTTGGTGTCTACCAACCCACATGTATTGGTGGTGTCTACACCACTGATGTGGTGTCAAATGTGGCGGATGTGGCTGATACATGGAGTACATCAGATTACCGTCTATTAAACAAACACACGACCAACACAGACTTCCGAGGATTGTTTTCTGACAGTTTCTCGCAGATTTCTAAGCTTATGTTTTTTTTCCTGACGTTCTAAAACCAACACGTCTCATCAGTCTGATTCGTTCAGCCTGAATTTTACTGTCTGCATGTTCACGCATTACAGTGTGTGTGTGTGTGTGTGTGTGTGTGTGTGTGTGTGCGTGCATTACCTGTGTGACCCCCTGCTGGCCTCCTGCAGACACTTTTGGCACGGTGGTGAGGATTTTTCCAGCGGTCCCTGGAGTCACCATCTTGGTAGTCAGGATGGTGATCGGACTGTTTCCACCTGGAAGGGAGGAGCTTCACTCAGTCATCCACCACATTAAACATTAAACTGGACTTACAGTGGTCCCACTTTCTTTCAGGGATGTTCCCGGGGGAGTGAAATGACCCCAATGAGGCAGTCGTAATAAGAGCTGGTCGAGTTCTCTTAATGCAGCAAAAGGTTTCTCTGCTTTTTTATCTCCTTTACCAATGAAACGACTGTTCTAACCAGGCAGAATCTACAACATTGAAACACAGAACTGAGGCTATTTGGATGTGTTACTGGCTCTTTAAATCATGTAAGGCTTTGAGGTGTGTGTGCTGGTGCTGTACCTGCGCCTCCCTGCAAAGCTGACACTGGGATGGTCTTAATGATGGTGGTTCCGGGTTTGGAGACTGCCGGCGCGACGCCCAGGATGGTGGGTTTCCCTGCTGAGGATCCAGCCTGTGCCGTGCTGAGGATGGTGGTCTGCTTACCATCGGCAGACGATACCAACTTCAGGATGGTTCCTGCAGGGAGACCGCCCTTAGCCTGACAGGAAGCCGGAGGAGGAAGAATTGGGGTTACTGAGTTTTTAAAATTTTTTAAATTCTAGTCAGAGAAGAAACTTACATTTAATGTTGTATAACACCATGCAGATAAGTTCATGACGTAAAAAAAGTTTTGAAAAAATTTC